CTTCTTCAGCCCTCTGTAACTTGTGTCCTGAGCCTACACAGCCCAGCAGGCTCACTTCTACTACCTAACTTTCTAAATAAACTTTCTCTTGTACTTTGGAAAAAACACACACACACAATGAGACACCACTTCATACCTACTAGGATATCTACTAGTATATTGAAAAGTGTTGGTAAGGATGTGGAAAAAGTGGAACCTTTATATGCTGCTAGTGGGGATGTAAACTGACGCAGCTATTTTGAAAAATAGTCTGGTAACTTCTCAAAATGTTAAGCACAGAGTTGCCATATGACCTAGCAATTCCACTCCAAGGGAAATGAAAACATATGTCCACACAAAAGCAGGTACACAAATATTCACAGCAACATTATTCATTATAATAAAAAAGTATAAACCACCCAAATGTCCATCAACTAATGGGTAAATAAAATGTGGTATAGTCACACAATGAAATGTTATTCGGCCACAAAAAGAAATACATGCTACATGCTATCTATAATAATAAAAGCACAATATGCTAATTAGACCAGACAGCCTAATGACCTTCCAGACGAAGCCACGGCTGCGAGGGCCAAGCCCCTTGCACAAATTTCATGCATCGGGCCTCTAGTAACATTAATGATGCATTAATCATGCATTTTTATGAAATATCCAGAACAGGCAATCTATAAAGATTAAAAGGAGATTAGTGGCCGAAACCGGTTTGGCTCAGTGGATAGAGCGTCGGCCTGCGGACTGAAGGGTCCCAGGTTCGATTCCGGTCAAGGGCATGTGCCTGGGTTGCAGGCATATCCCCAGTAGGAGATGTGCAGGAGGCAGCTGATCGATGTTTCTCTCTCATCGATGTTTCTAACTCTCTATCTCTCTCCCTTCCTCGCTGTAAAAAATCAATAAAATATATTTTAAAAAAAAAAAAAAAAAGGAGATTAGTGGTTGACTAGGACTGGAGGTTAAGGAATTGGAAGAAATGGGGAGTATGGGTTTTGGAGATAGTGAATATATTCAAAACTTGATTGTAGTGATGATTGCACAACTCTGGAAATATACTAAAAACCACTGAACTGTACACTTTAAGTAAGTAAATTATATAGTATGTTAATTATATCTCAATAAACTTGTTTATATATATTAGAAAGAGAGAACACATAACTGATAAAGCAAATGGAGCAAAATGTTAACCATCAGTGAATCTGGGAAAAGGATGTACTGAAGTTCTTTGTACTATTCACGACAATGTTTGGTGTGAAATTAACATTAGGAAAAGCTAAAAGATATGCCTCAGGACAATCACACACAGTATTCTTTAACATGAAACAGAAACCCAGCCATCAAAGGGGTAGAAAGAGGTACTGGACTCTACCACCATCTGCCTTCCCACTTAGGATGGACCAACAATAATGGAAAATGTAAATCAAAAGCGATTCTTTCAGATTTGCTTATCTACCTGACAAGCTCAAAAAGCTAACAAGCAAATACAATCTCCTAAAATTGACTATTCTTGTGCTTCACTCATAGAGTACCTTCTATCCTTCCAACCCAAAGAACTTCTTCAATTAACCAGAAAAGAAAACAAAATAATTTCACACCTTCCTCAGTTCCTTGCACAATAAATAAACTACATAGCTTGGCTAAATGCTTAAGTATGCAAGAAAGAGCAAGAGGTGACAGGGAGCATCCTATATAATAAAAGCCTAATATGCTAAGTGTCCAGTCATCCAGTCATCCGTTCAACCAATCAAAGTGTAATATGCTAATGATATGCTAAAACTGCTCAACTGCTTGCTATGATGTGCACTGACCACTGGGGGCAGACAGCGACTGGTTGACCAGTCACTATGACATGCACTGACCACCACGGGGCAGATGCTCCAACCAGTAAGTGAGCTTGCTGCTGGGGTCCGGCCTATCAGGACTGAGTGAGACAGGTTGGACATGCCCTGGAGCCCTCCCGCGGTCCCTCCTGGCTGGCCAACCTGTCACACCCCTCCCCAGCCCTGATCGTGCACCAGTGGGGTCCCTCGGCCTGGCCTGCGCCCTCTCCCAATCCGGGACCCCTCGGGGGATGTTGGAGAGCCAGTTTTGGCCCAATCCCGCAGACCAGGTTGAGGGACCCCACTGGTGCACGAATTTGTGCACTGGGCCTCTAGTCTACTATAAAAACCAATGATCTGGGTCTATGTTCAACATAGCAAACTGTATACTTGCAACCAGACAATGAATCTTAATCCTCCACAAAACCAGAAGAAACACTGAGCATCTTTGATTTGCTTTTTCTGGATTCACTTTTTAATTTATTGGCTTCCCTAGCCAGTTTGGCTTAGTGGATAGAGGGTCAACCTGGGGACTGAAGGGACCCGGGTTTGATTCCGGTCAAGGGCACATGCCCGGGTTGCAGGCTTTGATCCCCAGTGGGGGGCGTGCAGGAGGCAGCCGATCAATGATTTGGTTCTCTCTCATCGTTGATGTTTCTCTTCTCCCGCTCCCTTCCCTCTCTGAAATCAATAAAAATATATTTTTTTTAAAAGGAACATAGCCCTAACCAGTTTGGCTCAGTGGATAGAGCGTCGGCCTGTGGATTCAAGGGTCCCAGGTTTGATTCCGGTCAAGGGCATATACCTTGGTTGCAGGCACATCCCCAGTGGGGAGTGTGCAGGAGACAGCTGATCAGTATTTCTCTCTCATCGATATTTCTAACTCTCTATCCCTCTCCCTTCCACTCTGTAAAAAATCAATAAAATATCTTTTTTAAAAAAAAAAAAAGGAATATAGTGGCTATCTGACACATATAACTTAATTTGCTGGAAAAATCATAGACTTACTCCTCAGTAACTCCCTAGAGCACCTGGGTGCAGTTCACAATTTCCTGTCATTTACTTACTATGACATCACCGATTTGGGAGCTATAAGGCAGGCTCAGCAGAGAAAATGCACCCTGTAGGTCTCAAGACTGACTTGCATAGAGTCATTTGTATTCTGTTTTGTTTTATTCAAAGATTCCCCCTGGGTAGTCCAGATTTCAACTGCCCCCCTCCCCAACCCACCAGAAATGAAATGAAGAAAGAAAAGAAATTCTCCAATCAGTGCCTATTCTAACAAAGGCCACCTACTGAATAAATGGTCTTGACATTCCACTACTGCAACCACATTTTAAAATACAGAAAAAAATACCCTTCTTTAAACATTTTATACAACTCATCCCCCTTCTTTACCCCCCAATAAGCTTTCACAGGAATATAATTTTAGCTCACTGAAAAGCCAGATAATTAACAGATATTTACTTAAAGAGAATTCACATTTTTGAGGATGCACTTGGTAATATGCTTTTTATTTACAGTCTCTTTTGCATTGATGAATTATCTAACTTGCCCCATCACAGAGATATTCTATATAATTTATTATTTCCTTTACCTTTTTCACGTGTCTATACAATTTAATGAACACTCAAAAACACACCATATAACACTGGTTTATTCCACCACCTTAAAGTTTCTTTTACTGGGGAGAACTATGATATTTTTAGTCTTTCTCAACATATTACTCTTTTCTAAAAACCCAGCCAGGCAATGAGATGCAGTTTAATGTCAGGAGAGGAGCACTGGACCAAAAGTCAGGCAATTAACTAACAGGACATTGGCCCTACTGTCCTTCCGAAGCTTCATTTTCACCTTCGAGGTCCCTTCAATTACATGAACCGAATTCCAACAACTGCACCACAAAGTCACATATCTTTGAAATATGTGAAACAGGAAAAATTAACTTCTGCACTATGAGTTCTGAAGACAAAAAAAGTGAACTTGAGACGATAAAGCTTCCCCAACAAGTGGCCTAGTATTAACTGTGTTACTGCTTCATGATTTTTATTTCCTCCACCTGCTATTAATTTCAAGGAGACAGTATATTTGTTCTGACCTTTTAAAGGTCATCAATTTATCACTTTTTTTAAAAAAAGACAGTCCATTTTTGTCATCTGAAGTAGGCACCTAATTTTTTTTTTCATAACACTGGAATTTTTCTGGCGACAAAGACAAACAAACAGACCTGTGTATCTTCCCTGAAGCAAAGTAAATTTAGTCCACAAGATAACCACTTTCAGGAGGGAAGCTTTGCAGTGCATACACCATGACCCAAGACTAGAGAGAGGATCCACACGACACCTGCACACGGGACGCCCCAGACGCAAACTTTCTCACAACTGTTGTCATTCGAAGGCTCCGATGACGGTGCAGTGGAATTCATGGGGGTTTTACAGTTCCGACTCCAACTGATGTCCACCCTGTCGGGACACTGGCCCTGGGCTCCCCCGCCACTTCCCCTTGGAGAGAGGACTTCAGAAGCATCGCTATGCAGCCCAGGCTCTCCCTCCGACCCTTTCATCACCAATGACGCCGGCCTCGCACAGAACAAGAATTACTCTCCATAGAAGAGTGCACGGCCCCGGGCACAAGGCCTTTCTAGAGACAGGAGAGCTCTCACTCCTCCGGTGTGGCTCACGTCCCCTCCCTTCCGTCCTCTCCACCCCGGGGACCAGCCCAGGGCTGGGTCAGAACCGTTCTGAGGAACTGCTAGCACAGGCTTCTTGGGACGAGGCCAGATAAACTCAAAAAGTTTTTCTTTTTCTTTTTTTTTCTTTTCTTTTTTTTTTTTTTTTTTTAAGTGGGTGGAACTTACTTTCTCACGGATGCCTTCTCGCCTCCCTAACGGGTGTTCGGGCTCCCATTTATTTTATACTAAAGTCACTCAACCTGCAACGGGACTGAGCACACTCACCCTGCCCGCTGCCTGGCCAGGGGCGACGGTGCCCAAACAAGGGGCGGGGAGGCCGTCGGGACCCTCAGGGCTCAGAGCCCCGCGTCTCCTCCTCCCGCCCTGGGTCCTTCCGACCGACCCTCGCCCGGCTCCCGGGACAAAGCCGGGGCGAGCGGGGGTTTCCGGGGGAGGGAAGGGGGGTCCCGGCGGCAGCGGGCGCGGGAAGCGGCCCAGCGCTCGGCGGGCGCACTCACCCGACAGCTCGTCTGGCTCCAGCCCGGTCTCGGTGTCCAGCCCGCAGATGACAAAGTAGTCGGCGAAGCGACTGGGCGCCGAGCCCCCTCCGCCGCCGCCGCCGCCGCCGCTCATGGCGCCGGGGCCGAGCCGGGCCAGGCCGTGCGGAGCGCGAAGCCCCCGCACCCGAGTGCCTGCCCGGCCTCAGGCCGCCCCTCCCGCCGCCGCCGCCGCCGCTACCGCGGCTCGGGCCGCCGCCCCCGGCCCTGGCCCGGTCCCCGCGGCCGCTGCGGCTGCCGTGACGGGGCAGGGGGGCACCGGGCCGCCCCGCGCCGCATCCTGAGCGCCTTCCCCGCCGCGCCTCCGCCGCTGCCGCCGACCGAGAACGCCGCGGACCGAGCGAGCGAGCCTGGAGGAGGGCGAAGAGCGCGGCGGAGCCCACAGCCCTCCCCGCGGACCCCTCCCGCGCGCTGCGCAGGCGCCGTCGGCGCGGGGCGGGCGCCGGGCGGAGGGGATGACGTGATGCTCTCGGACCCTGCGGGCCGCAGTTTCCACCGCCGTCGCCGCAGCGCGGCCGGCCGCTACCGTGTCGCCGGTAACCCCCCTCCCTCGGGGATGTCACGCCTTCGAGAGGCTTGAAAAGGTGCGGGAGGAGCGGGCGCGCCCGCAGAGCGGGGACCCGGGCCCGCGCTGCGCTCCCACCCCGCCCCTTCCTGTAGCCGGAGCTCTGCTGACCCTGCCCTGTCGCCGGGGGCGCGGGGAGGCAGCGGGACTGGGCTGGAAGCCCCTCATCCCAGCTCCGGGCTGTCGGCCGAGACCCTAGGCCGGGGGCCCTTTGCCCGGTAGAGCGGAGGACGCCCCCTCTTTTGGCCGAGGTGGATCGGCCCCTCCTACAGACGGGGAAACTGAGGCCCAGAAAGACGTAAGAACTTATTCCACGGTCATATCGTCTAAGAGACAAAGCCTGGGCGAGAGTCCTGGGTTGCTGGCCAGCTTCCAGCCCTCTCACCCCGACCCCCGCCTGGCCTTTTCCCACGAACCATGCTGCCCCCTTTTCTCCCCGCGAGCCTCCTGCGGCCCCTGCCCCTCCGGCGCCCCTCCTCTGCCGCTGGGAATTCTCAGCCGGTCCCTGAGCCGGCCCCCCTTCGAGCAGTGGGAGTCGGGGTGGGCGAGGGCAGAAGCCCTTCCTTGTCTGGGGGCCTCTGACTTGGTTTCCCACGGGAGGGAGGGAGGCAGGAACGTGGAGAGCGGAAGCCAGGGAGCTGATAGAGTAGAAGGTGGCCAGCATGGGCTCTGGCAACAACAGACGGCTCAGATCTGAACGCTGACGTGGTCATTTACCGTTCAACCTTGAGCAGCCACGGTGTTTGTGACTATTAGGTAAGATAAGTGTGCATACAGGTAAAATGGTCGGAATCGTCCCTGTATTCGAAATAGTCCATATGTGTTATAAATCATTACTATTCCTGCAAGAGGTAAGCTCACGGTTGGCTCTGGCAGGCTGCTACTGCGGGCCCTGGAAGGCAGCTGGCCTCCCCAAGGCCTGGCCCTGAGCTCTCTCCTGGGTACGCACCTCAAGCGCTGGTTCCCTCAGAGAGCATGGCCTGGCGGTCACAGCCTGCGTCACTTGGAACCATAGCACCGGCCTGGCCTCTCCCTGTACGTACCCTGCCTAAACCTGTGGAAGAAACGTGGGAAGGAGGAGGTAGCTTCGCAAAGCCCACTGTCAGGAGCAAGGGAGCATTCCCTGAAAGGAATCACTCTCGCTCCTTTTTTATCTTTCCACAACGCCGGGTTTGTTCGGGGAGATCTTCCCAATGAGCAATAGAGTCACATGCAGGTTATGCAAGAGTGGGGAGCTCATGCGGTAAAGGGAGCGGAGCCAGTGTCCAACACGAAGTCCCGTCACTGTTGGCCTCTGCAGGTGGAGAGACGGCCTTTGTCTCAAGTCAGGCAGCTACTGTGGCGGCAAGAGTCCAGGGGAGTGGAAGCCTAGCAGGGATCAGGGCGTGACTCGTGGTACAGCCAACTTCAAGCATTAGGCAGTCGGAGCTCTGAGTTCTTAAAAGTCCTCCAGGGTGGGAGTCCCACTCATATCCGTGTCCAGATGGAGTCCTTAACCAAGTGTCCAGACTTGGTGGTTTTGGGTGTTGGGGGGTCCCTCCTAAGGGCATCCAGTTACACCCCTTTACCTCAGTCTTGACATACACTTGACGAACTATCATGACTGACAGTGAATTGGATTGTCAAAGGTATCCAAAAAAGTCTGCTCTCTACACCCATTTAGGGTGATGTCCCACCCTTTGTAGTATCCTGAGGACACGGAGACACTAGAAGAGGTTCAGGGCGCTAAATAGTTATATGGCACAAAAGAAGGACATCTCTCCCGATTGGGAGATGGTCTGCAAGGCTTATAGAAGGAGGTACAATCTAATTTGAGGTCCAGAGGATCAAAATTAATTTCTCAGGTAAAAAGGGGAGAAGATGTTTCAGTAAGCATGTACAACAACAGGGAGTGACAGATTAAAACAGGGGTCCTCAAACTTTTTAAACAGGGGGCCAGTTCACTGTCCCTCAGACCGTTGGAGGGCCGGACTATAGTTTAAAAAAAAACTATGAACAAATTCCTATGCACACTGCACATATGTTATTTTGAAGTAAAAAAGCAAATGTTTTCGGCAGGCCGCATGTGGCCCGTGGGCCATAGTTTGAGGACCCCTGGATTAAAATATTACATTCAGCCCGACCAGTGTGGCTCAGCAGTTGAGCATCGACCTATGAACCAGGAGGTTGTAGTTCGATTCCCGGTCAGGGCACATGCCCGGGTTGTCATAATCCAGGAGGCAGCTGATCAGTGATTTTCAGGAGAGGAGCACTGATCCAGGGAATGAGAGGAGCACTGGACCAAAAGTCAGGAGAGGAGGCTCAATGCAGGAGGCAGCTGATCAATGATTTTCTCTCATCATTGATGTTTCTATCTCTCTCTCCCTCTCCCTTCCTCTCTGATCAATAAAAATACATTTTAAAATAAAATAAAATATACATTCAAGCAACAGCAAGTAATTCATTTCATGGGAGATGAAGAATTAAAAGAGGATGAAAGCAGGGAAAGAGGAGAGGAGCAGAGGAGGAAAGGCTTCAAATGACCGGCTAAGGAATTTGCTATGTAAAATGTGCAAGTCAGGGGGTGGTAAATTAAAGGAATTTAAGCCGAGGAGTGACAAAATCTGACCCACATCTTCAAATGATCTCAGAAGACGCTTGGAAAAGGCTTAAATGTCCTCAGATTGAAAGTCCAGACTTTTTATCCAATGTGTCTTGGGTGATCAGGTGCTGAGAGACCTCTCAACTCAACTTGCAAAACACAAATTAGAAACAAAAGTCTGACTGTATTAATTTGCTCTGGAAAATGTAACTGCTCAGAGGCCCAGAATATTCAACTGTAAAGTGATCTCCTTCCCAGTAGGAAATATGTTTGGCAGAATGATTGCTTCTTCCAGAGTCGACGGGGGGAGGGGAGGGACAAAGTTGGATGCTCTTAAGATTTAGTGTTTAAATCCCTACTCCCACTCTTATTAGCTATGTGAGCTCCTCACCAAGGCTCAATGAAAAGTTTGCCATGTGCACACTCAAATGAACCCCACTGATCATACAGAAAAACTTAAGCTTCACAATACAGGCTTTCTTAAAACTAGAAACACAAATACAGCTAGCTATAGAGTGACACACCCACAGCCAGCTCTCTCTGCACAGTGATCCAGCTCTACAAAAGGAGTCACACAGGCTTTGCTTTCCCACCAGCCCCCAACACCTTGCTCATAACCAGCATTGGGCTCTTCATGTCTCTTCAATGACCCAAGCTGCCTAAATCAGTTAAAAAATCATCACCCTTCAGCCACCATTACCCATAACAACAAGAAGCCCCAAAGAAGACTCCACATCAAGCAGCATCTGATGTTCTGTGGCATGGGGAAGTATGAAGTTGAGAAACAGGAGGAACAAATTGCAGATAATGTCCACAAGTGGTGCAACTTTCCCCAAAACAGGTCATGAGCCCATGCATGTGTATATCTATGTACATATCTGTTGGAGCTTCTTTATATGTAAGTGAGCATTTGTGTATGGGGGTGATCAGGTATATATATATGTGCTTATATAGATTAGATGTATGTTTGTGTATTTGCAGGTGTAAATAATTGCATGTGTAGTGTGTGTGCATCTGAGGAGGTTGGGTGGGGCAGGATGGCTAGACCAGAGAGGTACCTAGGGCTCTTGACAAACCCAGGAGTGACTCACTGGTGGGCCCCTCTGTTCCCTCTTCCCCTCTACCACCCTAGGTTAGAGCCTTTTGAGAGTCTAGGTCCGTGGTCGGCAAACCGCGGCTCACGAGCCACATGCGGCTCTTTGGCCCCTTAGTGTTGGTCTTCCACAAAATACCACATGCGGGCGCGCACGTACAGTGCGACTGAAACTTCATGGCCCATGCGCAGAAGTCGGTATTTTGTGGAAGAGCCGGTATTTTGTGAAAGAGCCACACTCAAGGGGCCAAAGAGCTGCATGTGGCTTGTGAGCCGCTGTTTGCCGAGCCGCAGTTTGCCGACCACTGGTCTAGGTGGATGACCTTATATGTACTGCATCCAGCCCGCTCCCTTAGAATGTGAACACAGTGGGCTCACTGTTCCCATCAACTTGAGGGCCAAGAGCTTCCTGGGAAAGGCCAGATGGTCTAGTAAGGGGGAGTGAAAGGCCCTTGGACCAGATTCCAAAAGGAAGATATATTTAAATGTGGCTGAGCTCTCAAAGGTTTTTTTCAGGGGTGATGGAATTGTTATATATCTTGATTGTGGTGATGGTTTCACAATTATTTGTAAAAGCTCACAGAATCATGCACTAAAAAAGAGTGAATTTTACTGTATGTAAATGGTACTTTAATTTTTTAAAAGTAGGAAAAGATATAATTAATCATAGAATATTTTAGTACTTTTCTAGCTGACTGTAAACAAAAACATACAGTCATACTATAAATATTCTAAGTTATATCAACCTGCCTTTAGTATGACAAAAAAACATACAAGAATTATGACAGAGAAAAATCAATATTAAATTATTGGAATGATTAAATTTATAATAAATTTGAAAAATTAAAACAGCACAAGACTTTTAACAACACATTAAGAATTAACTACAATAAAACTAAACTGAATTTCTAAAGTTCAGAGCATTGTGTCCTAGATTGTACTGGGAAACACTTTGTCTTTATTCATACATAAGAAGTTGCTCTGCTTTTAAGAGCCACGTTTAATATACTCTGTGACAAAAAAAGAGATGTTATTGGGTCACTAGTAAGTGTAGGGGCTACAAAAGAATTACTAATAACTTATTAAATGCACTACAT